TTGTCATTACACATATCAAGTATAGAGTAACGAAATGAGGTTGGCATCTCACCAGAAGTGCAAATAAGCAGAAAGTGCAAGAGTCTGTACTAGTACAGTAATTCTGTGCTATGTACAGTAATTACAAAATTTACAGATGTAGCCAAAACAAAGTGAATTATTGGTATATCTGGATGGCTGGATTAAATGGGATGCAATAAATATAAATAAATGCCTCTATAAATAAGTAATGCTACAAAATAAGTGTTCTTAGGATTATAATACAGATAAGATGCAGTAGCATGCTATACTAAATATACAGATTAAGATGCAGTGAGCATGCCATACTATAATATACAGATTAAGATGCAGTGAGGCATGTATACTAATAATATACAGATTAAGATGCCAGTGAGCATGGTAATACTAATAATATACAGATTAAGATGCAGTGAGCATGTATACTAATAATATACAGATTAAGATGCAGTGAGCATGGTATACTAATAATATACAGATTAAGATGCAGTGAGCATGTCATACAAGTTTACAGATAATTTAAAGAATATGAACATACTATAATACAATAATACAGATGGATGAGAGATGAGTGTGTGTGTGACCAGGAGGAGAGGTGGGGGGATGATGGGTGTGAGGTGATATGGAGGGGAAAGGGGGGTCAGCAGGTGCGGAGAGAGAGAGGGAGAGAGAGAGAGAGACAGAGTTCAGAGTTCGGGGGGTAGAGTTCAGTAGAGAAACAGCTCTGGGGAAAAAGCTGTTCCTCAGTCTGCTGGTTCTGGTCCGGAGGCTTCTGAAGCGCCTGCCGGAGGGCAGGAGGGTAAACAGTCTGTGGGCAGGGTGGGAGGAGTCTTTAAGGATGCCATGAGCTCGCCGCAGACAGCGTTTTCTTTGGACATCCTCAATGGCAGGAAGTGGACACCTTGTGATGCGCTGGGCGGTTTTTACCACCCGCTGTAGCGCCTTACGGTCTGTGACAGAGCAGTTTCCGTACCAGACTGAGACACTGCTGGTCAGGATGCTCTCGATCACACAGCGGTAGAAGTTCATCAGTACAGCTGAAGACAGGTGGTGTCTCTTCAGTGTCCTCAGGAAAAAGAGGCGTTGATGAGCCTTCTTAACCAGACTGGAGGTGTTAGTGGACCAGGAGAGGTCCTCTGTGATGTGGGTCCCCAGGAACTTGAAGCTGGAGACACGTTCAACAGCCATCCGTTGATGTGAATGGGGTTGTGCGTGCTTCCTCTTTCTCTCCTGAAGTCCACGATGATCTCCTTCGTCTTGCTGGTGTTGAGGAGCAGGTTGTTGTCAGCACACCAGGCGGCCAGATGCTGTACCTCCTCCTGTAGGCCGTGTCATCGTTGTTGCTGATGAGGCCAATCACCGCTGTATCGTCCGCAAACTTGATGATGGTGTTGGATCCATGTACAGGTCTGCAGTCGTGGGTGAAGAGGGAGTAGAGGAATGGGCTCAGCACACAGCCCTGTGGTACGCCTGTGTTGAGTGTGATGGTGGTGGAGCAGGTGTGTCCTGACCTAACATACTGGGGTCTGTTGGTCAGAAAGTCCATTATCCAGTGACGGAGGGAGGAGTTGAAGCCCAGGTCTCCGAGTTTAGTGTTCAACTTGGAGGGGATGACAGAGTTGAATGCTGAGCTAAAATCAACAAACAGCATTCGTGCGTATGTGTTGTTATTGTCCAGATGAGTGAGCACAGAGTGCAGCGCAGTGGAGACTGCATCCTCTGTACTCCTATTGCTGCGGTAGGCAAACTGGAATGGGTCCAGTGTGGGTGGGAGGCAGTTTTTCAGGTGTGCTAGGACCAGTCGCTCAAAGCACTTCATTATGATGGGTGTGAGTGCTACAGGGTGGTAGTCATTCAGGCCTGTCAGGCTGGAGTGTTTCGGCACTGGGACAATGGAGGTGGCTTTGAAGCATGCTGGCACAGCTGCTTGGGCGAGGGACAGGTTGAAGATGTCCGCAAAAACCCCAGTGAGCTGCTCTGCACATGCCCTAAGCACGCGCCCGGGGGTGCCGTCTGGACCCGCAGCCTTTCGAGCGTTGATCCGGCTCAGTGCAGCGTGGACGTCTGTGGAGGTGAGTGAGAGGGGCTGGTTGTCTGCAGGAGGTCTGGTCGTGGTCTGTGTCTCTCTGTTGTCTCTATCGAAACGAGCATAAAAGTGATTTAGCTCGTTCAGGAAGGAGACATCTGTGGTTATCGGGGTGGAGTTTCTGGGTTTATAGTCACTGATGGCCTGGATGCCCTGCCACATGCGTCTGGGGTCGGAGTTGGAGAAGTGTTCCTCTACCTTCAGCTTGTAGCAGTGCTTGGCCTTGATGATGCCCCTCCTCAGGTTTGCCCTGGATACGCTGTAGGCCATTGCATCATCTGATCTGAAGGCGGTGTTGCGGGCCTTCAGCAGGAGACGCACCTCCTTGTTCATCCATGGCTTCTGATTTGGGTACGTGGTGATCTGCTTCCATGTTGTAACACTGTCGATGGTGGTATTGATATAATCCAACACAGAAGAAGTGTAGGTGTCAATGTCTGTGTGAGAGCCCAAGGTAGCCTGCGAAGCAAACATACTCCAGTCTGTGTGATGGAACTTGTCCTGAAGTACAGAGTCTGTCCCCGCAGACTGAAATAAAAATGAAATAAACCTGCATCCAGGTAATGTTCAAAATTGTTTTGAATTACACGTTTTAAATATTTGTTGTAATATATTTTTTTTATTTTATATTTTTCATAATAACATTTGGAAATATAAAAACAATGTGTGATTATATTTTGTCATTTTTGACGTTTTAAATATTTTTTTAAAAATTATTTTTTTATAATAACATTTTGGAAATATGAAAACAATGTGTGGTTATATTTGGTCATTTTTGACGTTTTAAATATTTTTTTAAATATTTTTTCTTATTTTATATTTTTTATAATAACATTTTGGAAATATAAAAACAATGTGTCATTTTATTTTGTCATTTTTGAAGTTTTAAATATTTTTTTATATTTTTTTCATAATAACATTTTGGAAATATAAAAACAATGTGTGATTATATTTTGTCATTTTTTACGTTTTAAATATATTTTTTTTAAATATTTTTTATTTTATATTTTTTATAATAACATTTTGGAAATATAAAAACAGTGTGTGATTATAGTTTGTCATTTTTGATGTTTTAAATATATTTCTTTATATATATTTTTTATTTTTTATAATAACATTTTGGAAATATAAAAACAATGTGTGATTTTATTTTGTCATTTTTGAAGTTTTAAATATTTTTTTATAGATTTTTTTATAATAACATTTTGGAAATATAAAAACAAAGTGTGATTATATTTTGTCATTTTTTGACGTTTTAAATATTTTTTTTAATATATTTTTTATTTTTTATAATAACATTTTGGAAATATAAAAACAATGTGTCATTTTATTTTGTCATCAAATCTTTCTGAATAATACTAGAAACATGTTTACAATATAAGAAATATACAAATAAAAAATATCAAGTGACGTGAAGTTACACTGAGAGATTACAACCAGGGATTACGGTAAAAGGGGGCGGGGCTGAACTTTAACCAGGAAGTGTACAGCACCGCTCCGTGTTGTTTACACATGGTTGAACGTTCACGTGGAAAAAAAAAAAAGATATTGTTCTGTATGAAAAAAAATGTCTTCAAAGAAAAATAAAAGCAAGACGAAGAAGGGAAGTGAAGGAGACAGCTCGCTCGTAGTGAAGGAGGGATCTGAAGGCTCCTCAAACCTGCAAACATCCGGTCACGAAGGAGGAGGAAGCTGCAGAAGTTTTAACAACAACTCATTCACTGTCACGGATTTCATTGATAAAGGTAAACAGAATAAACACGGGCGTTTAACAGGTACTGTCACTTCTATCAGGAACCAATCAGGAGACACTTTACTACAGTGTGGTCCATGCTGCATGCAGACAGTGATGCTGATCTAATGCACCACCTCTCCTGCTCTGCAAGAAAACATAGAGACATATTTTCATAAACATGGATGTACTCACGACTGTCCAGTTGAGATCCAACACAAACAAACAAACAAACAAACAAACAAGCTACGAGTTTATTGAAGTCCAGATGAAAATCCTTGTTTTTGTTTCTTTACTTCAGCACAGGAAGAAGATGCTTTAAAGTTCCAACACAAAGATGAAGTTTTGTTACATTAACTAAACTCTTAAAGCCTCAAATGAGCCGAAGCTGCTTTTTTAAATATGATTTGGTCTGCTATACCATAAACTGGAAGCAAATCGGGCAATCATCAGTTTAAATAAATTAAAAAAATCTATAATGTGGTATTTTGTACATTCTTAATTTTTCTTTTTTTATTTAAATTGTACTGTGGTCACTTTTTGTTTGCAATCTTTGCTCTTTGCTGCTTTAACAATGTCAATTTCCCCGTTGTGGGATAAATAAAGGCTTATCTTATCTTATTTTATCTCTCGTCCCCATTTTCAATACTTTGATACTTTTCAATATCATGTTTTTTTTTTAAATACATGCAGCGTCTGTCATTATAATGTTTGATAGTACTGAAAAGTATAAAAGCCTTGAAAGAGAAGTGCATCTATTTCATGAGACAGTTGTGAATGATTATTCTGAATCCATTATTTTTAATATGAAGTCACAATGTGGAGCTTGTTTTTTGTTTTTTTTTATTCGACATCCTGATTTAACTTCATATTTTGTTTGTTTTTCCTCCCAGCTGATGACAAAACGCCGAGATGTTGCAGATCGACTTTAGCCCAGCTGAGCCTCAACTCAATGAAGTCGGCGAGCGTCTGCATCGGGAGACCGGTCCTGCTGACGAGTCCAACGGGAAAACAAGAGGTCTCCTCCTCCCTTCCTTCCTTTCTTGTTTTCTCGTTTGTTGTCTTGTTACTTTAAAACGACTTTTAAATGAATTGCAGCTCAGGTAACTTCTTCCATACTTCCATACTAATCACTTACCGTTGCCTCTCAGGTGTGTTTGGGATGGCCAGTTGCAGCTTTTCCTGCGGGGAAAGTTGGTCTTCAGAAATGTGCTCAGAGTAACCTCAAGGTGAAGTCAGGGGACGAGGTGACGCTGCACCCACTGACAGGTGCTGTTCTTCAAGCAGAGGAGGTGACGCTCTCCTGCAGGTAACGTTTATCAGATTTAAAAACCCTGCAAGAAATCCTCTCTTAAGAGTTTGAAGAATGTATTTCAACTTTATTCTGAAGGCTGTAGTTTGTGATGCTGTGGAAGTGATTTGTGTTTATAATGAGGTTGTCAACATTTTTAATACTTTGATGTTTGTTCAGTCCTACGTGTTTTGAGATGCTACAATCTCTGTTATTTAGTTGTATCCAAAAGTAAAGGTAAAAAAACTCCAACCTTTTCATATGACAGGTTGCTTAGGAGAGGAATGAATTCAAGATGAATTGCAAGCGAACTCCTGCTCACTTTTCTAAATTGCACAAATACGGCGCCAAAGTATTTGTGAAATTTAGTTTAGTTTAGTTTAGTTTATTTGCACATTTTTTTTAAAGAAGAGTCAAAACAAAATAAAAAATAAAACTCATGTGCAGGTGAGGTAGAAACCCATGAGGGCTTATCTCAAAGCCTCACCTTAAGAGATTAAACAAAGTTAAAATAAAATACAGTAAAAATAACAAAGTAAGAATATTTACTATCACAAATAAAAGTTACCCAATTTGAAAATGACATACAAACATTGAAAACATAAAAATAGAGCAAAACAGGACATACAGTATGAAGACAATATAACAAAATCAGGACAATTCACTTTTCACTACAAATCTTTCTGACATCAACGCATTTCTGAGTCTCAATTTGTATCTAGAAAAAGACAAAAACAAAACAAGTACAGACATTATTTTAATTTTACGCTTTCAAATTTTAAGATTTCAAACTCTCATCCTGACAAACCTTATTTTTTAATGAATATCCATCCCTTTTTATCAATTAGTAAAAGGCTCAATATGTATACATCACATATAATCCCCCTCTTTGGATACTTCTTGTCCTCAAACCTCTTAATTTGTCTCACATGTAAACACTGCCATCTTCTGGCTACATAGGAGTACTACAGTTTAAAGTATTTTCCAGTTTCCAACTTTTCTAAATGATTTATTCTTTTACGTTTGGTGTTATAATTTCTCTCCTGATGCCTTTTAATTCATCTTACTTAAACTATTGGGTACAACTTCATGTTTATTGATAGTTGATCATTCATTTCATACTCATTCTAGGCCTTTGCTTTATATTGTATAACTTATATTTATGCAGTGTGTTTGTTATTTCTAGTCTGTGTATGAGATGCTACAACATGACAACACGTGTGCAGCTGATTCTTACTACCTCAACGTTTCCTTCAGGTCCAAAGACGACACGTTAGAGACGGAGGAGTTCAAAAACTTCTTCCTAAGGACTCTGGGTAAGCCCGCCTTTTCTTCACATATTTATTGACTCTGAAAGAAATGTTACACTTTCTTGGTCTGGGAATTTAACCAAAAATATTATGTACGAGCAAACTGCTGACGATGAAGGTTTCTTAAGAATGAATCAGAAGAAAACACAAAGCAAAGTGAGGCGTGCAGCTTTTTAAACACTTTTGTAATTTATTGTATTCAGAGGTATTTGTCTGTCTTCTCGCTTAACAAAGATAAAGAAAAGTTTAATTTATTGACAAAATCACACCTATTTTTTTTTTTTTTTTTGTTTTTACTTAGTTGCCACAGTTTGAAGATAACAGGCGATTAACAGTATACCGTATTTAAAAAGCCTGACATCATTCTTTCATCCACTTTTAATGTATTCTAACAGCAGTGTAAGTGATATAAAACTGTATAGATCCAGACGTGAGCAGGTTTTATTTTGCTGCTTTGTATTATACCCACCCAATCATTAAAAATGCTGCGTGGCCTGCCCTGAACTCATCATTAACAGTTAGATCTTATTATGGCTCCCCCTAGTGGTCAAGGCATGTAAAACAGAAAAAACAGGTAGACCCTCCTCTGTATAACTTTTAACTGTTCATTTTGTACTATAAGGGTATGAAATAAGGTTACCCTGTTCTTCATATTTATTATGTAAAATAATTACAGGACAATCTGTTTGAATGTCACACACGTGATGCCTCCTGTAAGAGCTGCTTTAGCCCACACACACTGGATTGTTCCTCATGTTACAAAGTGTATCACCCAGAGGTTGGGCTTCTTTTGACAAACATGTTGATGTTGTTTAAACGGCCCTATACAGAGGGCGAACACTTTCTTATCAGCTGTACAATACTGACTACAAATACATCCATTCAAGGAAGTATTCTTTAAAATCATTCATTTTTTCCTGTTTAACTTTTTATTTGCCTGAACAAAATAGATAAATTATTTTTGTCTCTTCAACTCAACTTTATTGACGCGGACAAAAGCCAAAGTTTTCGAGGCGCCGATGGCCTAGTGGTTGTGACGTGCGCACCATGTTTGAGGGCTAAAGTCCTCACCACAGAGACCGCAGGTTTGAATCTGCCCTCGGCCCTTTGCTGCACTTCATCCCTCTCTCTCTCTCTCTCTCCTCCAAACATTTCCTGTCTCTCTTCAACTGTCATATCTAATAAAGGCAAAACTCGACAAAAACAGTAATGTCCAGAATATGTTCAATAATTTAATATTTTATCTGAAATGTGAAAAACTTTATATTCTCATTTAGTCTCCCGTACCTGAGCTTTCAGCCAATTTGGCACCAAACAAACCTGTGGACTTGTTTTAATGTGCTCTTTGTTGTTTTGTAAACAGTTGTTTTACTATCACATTTTTTTAAATCACTCATTTTGTGTGTTTGTCTGTGTCAGTTGGGAAAATCATCTTGCCAGGAAATGTGATCTCCCTGACGTACTTCGGCCGCTCATGCAGTCTCCGGGTGGAGGCCGTTAGAGGGGAAGACGGCGCCACCCTCCACAGACCGGCTCCTCCCCCAGGACCGGGCCCTGACACCGAGGAGTCGTCTGTGATGAACTCTGTGCTGGACTCGTCGTCAGCCGACCTCTCCCTGCAGCTCAGCTTGCTCACTGTGGACGACGACAACACTGAAGGGACAGCGAGCACGCCTGGAGAGCCTGGACCTGCAGCCAGCACCCCGCGTAGACCAGCACAACTCCCCTGTCTCTCCTCGCCCCCTGCTCTCTGTACCCCGTCGTCCTACATCTCCCAGAATCCTCCTTCAGGGGAGAGTGTCAATCTGGAGAACTCAGTCAGCTCAGAGAAAATCCCCACAGCTCCCCCTGGTGGTGCCTTGAATACTGACACCTTCTACTGCCTCTCCTGCTCCACTAAAGTCAGTTTGAGAGACCGAGCGGGGAAGGAGGAGGAGCCAGACGCAGAAGCTAAAAGATCAAAAGTCACATACAGCATGATTGGCGGGCTCAGCAGCCAGTTGGATGTCATCAGAGAGACCATCGAGCTTCCTCTGAAACACCCCGAGCTGTTCTCCAACTATGGTGGGTCAACGTCATTCACAGTCTGAATCAGAATCAGAAATACTTAATTCTTTTTAATAAACAATATTTAGTGAGCAAAGGAAGTCTTTTTAGTATTCCATGACTTTGGACTTTTGGAGGATTTGTTTTGCAAATTTAAATAATTTTGTCTTCCTCAAAAAACTAGAAAAACTAATGAAAAAATGTAATCATGAGTTTGCTGCCCTTTCTGCAAAAAAAATAAATTCTCCAGCAACTCAAGTTTTTATTTTGTCAAGCAACTTTTTTTGCACTGATAACTGAAGTTATCATACAGATTTATTTCAGACATACTGATATAAGTAGATAGACATTAAGATCTCAAACGTCAGGCTGATAATTTATCTTCTATATTTTCATCCTTAAGAAGCTGAGATTGACGGTTTTCTTCACTAGACTTCAATAAAAAAACAAATATATATATATCTGTCCATGCCAAAACTAAGGATGTATGTACAGATCAAAAATAATTTTATGCCCGAGTTATTTGTAACGTGTCGTTTATCTAGAAGCCAAAGATCCTCGGTCGCACAGTTGAGATCTGTTATTCTCCCTCAGGCCGTTGAAGTCGATCGATTCAAAAATATTCCAGTAGAAAACAGACTTTGTGAGATGTGTGAGTTGGACGAAGTTGAAACGGAGTCCCATTTTCTTTTGCGTTGTTCAAAATCTGATGATTTAAGAGAATTATTGTTTCATGAAGTAAAATAGAATAGAAATATTGGGGCGGACAGATGTGCAGAAACTGGAATGGCTGTTTAAGTTTGATGTGTTTAAACTTGATCATTTTGTTTCAAAAGCTTGGAAAAGAAGACAGGATATTCTGTTTGATTAGTTTGACTTCTTGCTTTCTCTTTTTGTTTCTTGAGAATGAGTATAGCTTACCTAGTGCACTCTGATCCGGGAACGTTTTTCATTGATGGTGTCATGTAAGCCCATGCGGGGTGGGGTGGGCATATGGAAGCATGTATGACACAATAATAAAATAAAAAACTAAAAACTATATAAAACTGGGTACCAACCCCTTTGTCTGCAGGGATTCCACCTCCCAGAGGAGTCCTTCTGTACGGTCCTCCAGGCACAGGAAAGACTTTGATTGGCCGAGCCATAGCCAACGAGGTGGGAGCTCACATGACGGTGATCAACGGCCCTGAGATCATGAGCAAGTAAGAAGACATTTACATCACTTTTCTGCTCTAGTACCATGATGCAGGGTTGGGATTATATTCTTTATAGACTTCAGTATCATAACAAACATCAATTGATTTGATTTTTCAAGAGATTCTGTATGTTGTTTTTATATCTTTACAGATTCTACGGTGAAACAGAAGCGAGGCTGAGGCAGATCTTTATGGAAGCATCTCAGAGGTAAACTCAGCTGGAACCTTCTCAGTCTAAAAATCATTTAATCTTTTATTTATTTGATGCTTAAAGGCTTTATATGCGCCCCAGCAGATGTCGCCCTTGAGCACCAGCATGAAACCAAAAACAACTCGCGCTGCATTGTTGTGTTAGCATGCTAATGCTAGCGATCTTTATATGCTGTATCTTCACACTGCATGTAAATTTACCTGAAATGAGCGTGATCTAGAAACACAGTTAAGCAGTGAACAGTATGTTATTCTTCTTTTCTCTAGTCCCTCAATTAAACAACTTTTATACACGAGGGGAGGAGTCAGCCGGCCGTCCCGGCGATGTAAACAAAGTGAAGATAGGACTCTGAAAACTCTGAAAACATCACAGACAGTGGGACTCGGGTGTTACACCCATTGTAGACAGTCATGACTCACAGAGTTATTTTCAGAGGATATACTTGATTTCTACATTTAAATGTGAAAAATCACATATAAAGACTTTAAGTGGTTAAACTTGTATGAGTCATCTTGGCGGTAAGAAAACACTCGATATATAAACATGAAGCCATCATGCTTGTAGTACAAACCTTTCAGTATCCAAATAATAATCCAAAAGTAAAAAACAATACGCGTACACTCTGCACATTTAAACACTGATGACATTTTATTCATAACTAAACATTCTGCGCCCGTCATTAAACAGCAGCGAGGTTTCCCAGTGTGTAACCACTCACTGACACTTTCACCCGTTTCTCAGACGGCCTGCGATCATCTTTATCGACGAGCTCGACGCTTTGTGTCCAAAGAGAGGGAGCGCAGAACGAGGTGGAAAAACGAGTCGTGGCTTCTCTGCTGACTCTGATGGACGGGATCGGTTCAGTAAGTTCTCTCCTTGTTATATGTTCTCAACAGGTGGATAAAGTTATACAAACACATCTGATTCTAAGGTAAAATAGTCACTAAGGTTGTGTTGCACTCTCTCTCTCCCAATCCAAATAGTTACCAGTAATGTTGTTCTGCAGACCATCAAACCTGTGACTCTATGCTCTTGGGGGTTTCCAAAAGCAAAAGGCAACTTTTTAACAAATGTCCATTATTGTATACTTTTGTCAAAACTCCTTCTTGACTTCTACTCTTCTGTGTCTGCTCAAAAGCCAACTACGTCCTCTGCCTTTTTATTTTCTCATCAAGGAACGAAGATGTAGGAATGTTTTTTATGGTGTGCTTTGGTGCCCACCGAAGTCTCTGAGTGTAACTGCACTGTTATGAGCTGGGTATCGAACCCCAAAACCTTCCAGTTGAGAGACGACTGACTCTTCTAACCAAGCCACAGCCGCCCGTCAACTAAAAGATTCAGTACTATTACCAGATTTGTGCAAACTTGTCACAGCCCACTGTTTGCAAACTGTTTTCATGTACATACCCAAAACTCTCCAAGCTGGCTTTTTAAATATTTCTGTGTACCAGGAATGTATGTGCGCTCTGAACGTGTGTTCTCATCAGCAGATAATATTGTAGATAAAAAAGAGAGCTGCCCTCAAGCAGCTTTAAACCCTCTGCTGCATTTCTTTAGCAATACTCAAACAACATGCTCTGCCTTTACGCTTTAATGCTAATATTGTTGAATTATCATAGCCTAGCTTTTTTTTGTAGATAGTTTGCATTTCAACCAGAGTTGAAGCCAACAAATCCAAGGCTGCAGGAGTCTGTGATTCTTCTGCAGCATCAACCCAAGACAACCGATGGTGCTGGTTTTTCTGGAGGAATAACGGGTCTTACAGCTGAACCGAGCTCTGCCAAGAGAAAGTGTTTTTTGCTATATGTACACGTCTGAACTCAGATAGAGTGAGATCAGGTTGAAAAAAAATTGAACCGTCCTTTTAAAGCTCTACACTGGCTGATGATATATCCTATTTTAATTTTTTTTTTTACTTTGCCCAACTGAATGCCATTTTCTTATTCCATCAAACCAACAGTCTTTGTTATATCTGTCTATTCTTTACAAGCAGGTCTGCTTTACATTGAGCAGCTAATGCTTGATCAGAATACGTTATGAGTTTGGCTTCCTGCAGCAGAAATCAGGAAATGTCTTCATTGGAAATGCAGGAACCATCTCTGTCTGCTGGACGCCCTTCAGACACTGTGGGTTGTATCTCTGGGGTGTTGTTTGTCCTCTAAGCGCTCTGCTCTGGAAGATGAGAAAAAAGATGACCACCCCCCCTACACACACACACACTCAGTGGGAGTCTGGGAAACAAATCACCAAGGGTTGCTATGATCTGTCAATTTGGCTTTAACTTTATCAGCGGTCAAGTGTATCTCCATGTGCCTGGGAAGAAGAGAGCCTCATTGTGATTGGAGATATCACACAGAAAATGGTTTTGTCTGTGTGTCAGCCCACATGATCCGAGGTTGGTCATCAGCACTGATTGGTTAGTGGAATGTGTAAAAGGCACGTCCTGCGCTTCACCATTCTTCCCTGAAATATCATTTATTTGTGTTTCGATTCTCTGTGCGGTGTGAGCGGTGAAAAAAAATTCTCATCTTGCAGCCAGACCACCCTGACAAAACACACAAGTTCGGCATCAGTCTCGAGTCAAACATTTTCTGACGCTTTGCTTATGAAACCAACTGGGTACGGTTACAATTGGTGGTCTTCAATACACGTTGCACTTAGAGCTCCTAGAGACTCGACACCAATGACTCAAATCAACCATTTGCATGTAATTCTTGGTGCACGGCTCAGCCAAGCTGTTGTTTAAGATGCATCAGGCCATATCCACCATCTGTTATTTCTTCACTTAGAGAGTTTGGAGAAGCGGCCTTGGAGCTAGCAGAGCTGTGTGGGTTGACAAACACAAACAGCTTCGATAGCCTTCACTGAAAATGTACATCTGCAAAACCCGATCAGTATAGAAAAAAAAATCTATACATATTATATATCTACTATGGTGATTGAGTATTTTTTTTTTTTTTTTAAAGCAACCTTCCATAAAACTATGATCACCAGGAAAAGACTCATCTCTTTCCTTTTCCCCTTTTTTCCAGGAGGGTCACTCAGGTCAGGTGTTGGTCTTGGGGGCCACAAACCGGCCCCATGCTCTGGATCCTGCTCTGCGCCGACCAGGACGCTTTGACAAGGAGCTGGAGGTGCGAACTGATAACCCTTACCTGCATCAATTGTTAGAATGACTGGCCTGTGAACAAGGTTTTAACATAATCGCTCCAATGTGAAAACCAGCAGTCATCGTGTTAGCTCGCTGTGAATCAGGTGATAAAGAAAGTGCATGAATCGTAAACACTGAGGGATATTTACAGATCTTTTCATTGATATGAATGAAGCTTATGAATGAAGGATTGTGTCTGCTAACTCTCCAGCAGTTTTTTTGGTTTGGCGTTCCTCAGGGCTCCGTCTTCGGTCCTGCTTGGTTTTAATCTCTCTGTTATACAATGCTAAGTTGGTTTTCGTTTCATGTCGACAGGTGGGCGTTCCCGGTGCTAAAGAACGTGCAGACATTTTGCAGAAGCAGTTGAGTTTTGTACCATGCAGCGCCACAAACGAGGAGCTGACGCAGCTGGCCGAGGCGGCTCATGGATACGTAGGAGCCGACCTCGCTGCTATTTGCAAAGAAGCAGGCAAGTACACGCTGTCCTACTGTCATGTGAAAGGTCAAAATATTTTTGAAAAAAGTAATGCCTCCTTCATAGGACTCTGATCAAAAACATGTAAGATGGTGAGGGTGGGTTCCATGTGTACCACATTTTTCTCTTCACTTCTTTCTATTCTGGACGACATGTTGAACAAATGATCAAGACTCTTGAGCTTTTAACATTAAAACGGACATATTATCCCCTTCTCCACCTTTCCAAACAGTCCCCTTGTGGTCTAAATGAAACATCTGTGCTGTGCTTTGGTCAAAATATAACATGAGTCAAGCACCAGAGGAGGTTTGTGACCCTGTATAAACCAGCTCTCTCAGAACGCTCCGTTTTGGTGTGTGTGTCTCTTTAAATGCAATGACCCCCCCCCCCTCTGAGTTTTCCCAGTAGACATCACTCCTTCGCTCCTTCGAGAATAAAAATGGCCGGACCTGCGAAAAAGTTTTGCTCTAGGCTTGGGGTGGAGTCCATAGGTGGAGATACCAGGGGAGGGGAGGGGATTTTATTTACCAGAATTCCACTTGTGATGTGATGTTGAAATGTAAAAAAAATTGACTATTTTACTACTCACAACGGCCAACGACAAACTCACAGTATAAACGTCGTAATCGCTGACGCGCTTTGAGTGTGGGCTAGTGTACACAAGAGGTAGAGAGCGAGCAGGGAGACAGGGATGTTGCAAGCAAGGCTAGTGTTAGTACATTTGAATAATACAGAGAAACAATCACAAATCACACACCAGGGGAACAAGTCATAAATCACAGGATGCTAAAGTCTTTATTTGTGATTCTTCACACTTAAATATAACAGAAAATCCTCTGAAAATAACTCTGAGTCATGACTGTCTACAATGGGTGTAACACCCGAGTCCCACTGTCTGTGATGTTTTCAGAGTTTTCAGAGTCCTATCTTCAGTTTGTTTACATCGCCCGGACGGCCGGCTGACTCCTCCCCTCACGTATAAAAGTTGTTTAATCGAGGGACTAGAGCAAAGAAGAATAACATACTGTACTCACTGCTTAACTGTGTTTCTAGATCACGCTCATTTCAGGTAAATTTACATGCAGTGTGAAGATACCAGCATAATAAAGATCACTAGCATTAGCATGCTAACACAACAATGTAGCGCAGTTGTTTTGGTTTCATGCTGGAGCTCAAGGCGACATCTGCTGGATCAAAAAAATCGCATATTCTGCCTTTAACTGACTCACAAATAGAGTCATGAATCTTTAATCTAAAACTGTCACCGACATCGAGATCATCCACAGCTGCTCAGTGTGCTGCTCTTTTCCTTTTTGCACTTCCTGACACCAACATCATTTTGGGATAACAAAACAAAGTCAAACACGGCGTTCAGCCCAGAGAAGCGTGCCATCTTTCAGTGGTTTGCTCTGTGGTGCTCGGGCATCCAACCAAGAAACAAAGGGCATCTGGACAACACTTTGTTATGAGCTTTAGGTACGTTGGACCCTTCCTCTGCTTGAAAAACCCACATTTTCTTGTGACTCATTCTTCCTACATTTGTGTTTCACAACCTCTTGGATGTTTTTCTTGGAGTGTCTAACATGCCTGCAGCTCTTTTTGAACACAGCAGAGTCAAGCATCCTTTTGAAATATGCCAAATAGGAAGTTGGGAGTTTAGTGAGGGAAACCACTTAAACCACCACTTGTTGTAAAATTCCTGTGCCCCCTCTACCCCCTTATGCCACAAACAGATCCACCTCACATCCTCAGGACGAGCATGCTCGCTCCTTTTTGCAGTATGTTAACATCTCAATGTGCAAGATTGTAGGGTGTGTGTGTGTGTGTGTTGTACGCGCACATGCACGTTTATTTTTGTGTGTGTGTGTGTGTGTGTGTGACCCCGTGTGCCTCCTGGGTGGTCCTAGAGCCCCCGGGTACGTGGCGTATTGCATTTCCAGCTGAGGAGGGAGCAAGGGGGCTGCTGTGCGGAAGCACTCTGCAGAAGAGCGTGATTTACTGTCCGCAGAGGGGGCCAGACGTGACTGGCAGTGTTTTCTGAAAAACCTCCTCACGTCCCGGAGGGAGACAACAACCTCCTCAACCCCGTTTCACTCCGCTCACTTCCCCCTCAGAATCTCCCCACCAAGACAAACACAGGCCGTCCACGCTACACCACAGTACAAGCAACGGATTCAGAAAGTATTCCAGACTTGATTCTGTCTTTCTTTCTTTCTGTTGGATTCTTCAGGATTTAAATATCTTACAAATAAAATGCAAACTACGATACATGCACATATATAAATGCTCAGAATTGCTCCCACCAGCCTCATGTTGCTTTAGAAGTCTTTTAATCAAACAATAATAAAATGTAGGCAGTAATCTAACTTTTACTGATTTTTCTCACCTGTCTGACCTATTTAGATAACTACCTTATCCTTATCGGGCCTTCATATTCATTCATATATGATTAACTTCTTTATTTATTAAACATTTATTTATTTCTATCTTATCGTTGCCAAGACGACGCAAACTAAACGATGACGCATGGGGGGATTTAGTGCGGTTCCTTTTCTATTCCACAGAAACCAGTCTAGAGTCTAGTCTAGATTAGTTTGATAAAAATATATATTAAAAGCAAAAAAACAACATACAAACACGACAACAAGAGAAGATGCAACCGACTTCTTCTGTTGAAAGAGGAATGAAAGGAAACAGGAGTAAAGTCATTCAGGTTGAACTGAATCATAAGTGTTTTTGGAAAGTGGCTCAAAGATCAACTAGCTTAAAATGCTAACTAATGACTTAACCTGTTATTATTTCTTTTTTTTCCGGCTGAAATTCTTCTATTAGCTCAACTGGTTTTGGTACCGTTATCATAATATGCTATGCTAACATCCACTATTATCATATTATCAGCAGCTAGGTGGTGGGACTACCCCACCTACCCCAAACTGTCACTGCACCAATACTATACCACCAAACATTGCTCGGATGCTCATGCACACAAACAGCCGCAGACACACATTTCTATCCTCACACGCACACACACACACACACACACACACACACACACACACACGCACCCACAGACTGATATCTGTTTTTTCCTTCTCTGCTTTCATTGAAAAGGAACAAAAGCCAAAGAGGCACAAAAACACATCAAGTAGGAGCTGCAGTTGTTTCCTTCTTGCCGCTCAGGTAACAATGAGCTGCTGGGGGGAACGTACCCTCCGACGCACCACTTCCTGAAAAAATACAAATGTGGCGCTGCGACGGCTGCGACACTGCTAGGGTCACGCACAAGAACCCCGCCTCGCACAGCTGCAAGACAAGCATGCACACACAAGTTATGACCTCCATGTTTGTAACACACACACACACACACACACACACACACACACACACACACACAGAGTGAGCACGCTGCAGTGAGGGCTTCACTTCCTGCCTTCAGTACAATACCAGCCTGCTTAGAGATCACAGAGGGAGACTATTTAAATCACTTCTTCATCGAGGTCAAACCGCTTCTCTTTTGTGTGTGTGTGTTTTTTTTTAATCTGTGTGTTTGTGTGTGAACAATAATGGATGGAAATCTTGATGTCATCGGGGGAGTTTTTTGTCCGTCCAGTCCAACTTTAACTGAGCCCAAAAAAAACGACTTCTTGACGACAGATGTGTTGTATAACCAGCGGCTAATTACAGTTGATCACGGATTCAGCCAGTTTCCAATGTAACGCAATGCAAGAGCACACTTCCACCGGATCTATTACGCTGCTTCATCAAGGTAGTCTCAAAATCCCCTTTAAGCCTCCACAAATTATTAGGAACGTCTGTGCTTTCTATCATGTGCACTGACCGAGGGGGGGGGGCAGGTCCATCCTTCAAAGAGGGTCGGATTTTTCCAGCCCCGAGAGAAAAACAAGAATTTGGCTCAGAGTTAAGGAGGCCCCCCCATCCCTTCATAGATATATGCATACACATGAAACAACATGTCATGTTTGATTTGCTGTTTAACAAAAAAAACAACGCCTGAAGCCGATCTTATTAAGAATTACATAATTTAATAGCAGAAATCATTGTTGATTGATTAAATGTTTACTTTGGTCTCCTCAAAGACTCAGATGGGTAATAATGAAAGAGCACTGCTGTGATATCTGATATACCTCACTTAAACTGGATCAAAAATCAGTCACAATAGGGCAGACATGTTCAATTCTGTGTCTACATTTGACCCTCAGAATATAAATTAGTTTACTAAATGTCTTTGATGGTCTGATATCAAAGGTTGTTTTTTTTTGCAATATAAAAAAAACAATAAAGTTAAGTACAGGAGGACTTTTCTTCTGCAGGACAAGAACCTCTTAAACTCTAATGTTTTTGTCATAAAATATATAATTACATCGATGCTTCTCTGTTCATGGCTGCAGGAGGAGAGATCAGACTTTCTGTAGCAACCCTTAACGAGGCCCTCTAGTGGACAAATGTTGTAATACAAACAGGCTCAGCTGATGTTGGTATGGAGGGCAGATTAACAGACTTCCATTCAGAGTGGATTTAAAAAAAAAAAAAGCCAATCATGGCCGCTGTAGCTTTGCTTTAGAAAGATTGTTGTTCATTTATTTGATATTTCTTATTTTACAAGTTAAACTTTCAAACTCCTGACTACATCTCTTTTCAGTAGTGGATGCTGTCTCTCTATCACTCTCTCCTCCTCTGAGCTCCTCGCTGTGTCTCTAAGGTGGACATGGCTTTCATCACGGTTTCTCGCCGGCTGACAGATTTTGTAGACGTTCAGACGATCTGCTGGACTGTGTTAGTCACAGCAGAAAAATGTACAGCTGCCTGCACGCCAGCAGACTCTATTCATAGACGTTTCTCTGACAGACTCTCTGTTGTATCTGATGTAGCTCCTCGTCATGTCACGCTGACCGTCGCTTATAGGAGACGTGTCAGCACGCACGCTGTCACTGGATAGGCTGAAGTAGACGTAGAGTCATTATCAAGGTCCCGGT